CATTAATGGATCAGGCAGAGTTCCTGTTAAGAAAGCTTTTGCTTAAAAAAAAAACAACAACAACACACATCAAGGAAACTCCCAGAAAATGTAAGTGGTAAAGGTGAGACTTGGTTGCTAGAGTGTAGTAGGATGGGAGTTTCAGAAGTGTCTGGTACTGGCCTAACTCAACATTCACCCCAGGAGCATTTGGAAAATCCCTCCCTCATGCTCAGCAGTGAGTAAATTCAAGAGTGGGATTTGCTCTGTGCCATGTTTCTCAGCCCCACCTTCTGTCTCTGCATAAGAGCTACTTGCATAAATAGTCCAATGAAATGTAAGTCTACTCTGTATACATGATCAGCAATGGCATGGTGCTGCAGGAGGGCCATATTGAAAGTCCTCCCAGCCCCCCCCCCCCACCCCCTTGCATGAAGCTAGTAAGGTCTGCTTATAAACCCAATCTGATGGCTGTAGCTAAAGAGTGTTCTCTCTGATCACTAGCAGGCAATTGCACAGATTACTGGAGGGCTGTTGGCCTGGCTGAAAGTAATGAAGCTCCAATGTAGTTGAGTAGAAGGGCTAAGTCTTGCTCTTGCACATAGTACTGATTTGTGAGACTTTAGTAGAGGGTATGTATCTGAGTTGCATTAGAAAAGGACAGAGCAGTGAGGGAAGGTGTTTAGAGTTGGGAAGACAGGAAATGAGGGTCGGTGCAGGAACCTTAACTTGCTTACAGTGAAGTACTGAGTTTGAATTTTATAATTAAAATTCTCACTAGTTTGGTAGGGAATTCCTGTAGGTTTTATTTACTTATTGAATACAGGCCTCAGGAAGCCAGCATTACTTATGACCCATCTGACTAAAATACTCGATAGCAGAACACATGCTCCATATTTTGAACACTCAGAGGTTAAAAGCTGCTCCGACTCAAACTTTAAGGGCAGAAGGGACCCTCATGGTCATCTAGTCTGACCTGCACATTTCAGGCCACAGAATCTCACCTACCTGCTCCTGTAATAGCTCATAACCTCTGGCTGAGTTACTGAAACCCTCAAATCATGGTTTAAAGACTACACGTTACAAAGAATCCACCATTTACCCTCATTTAAACTTGCAAGTGACCAGTGCCCCATGCTGCAGAGGAATGTGCCAATCTGACCCAGGTGAAAATTCCACAACTATGGTGAGTGGTTAGACCCTGAGCAGGTGGGCAAGACCCACCAGCCAGACAGCTGAAAGAATTCTCCATAGTAACTCAGAGTCTTCCCCAGCTAGTGTTCCATCACTGGCTGTTGGAGATATCTGTGCTAGCAGTCAGATTGACTACATGCCATTGTAGGCAGTCTCATCATACTATCCCCTCCATATACTTAGCAGGCTCAGTCTTGAACCTAGTTAAGTTTTTTGCCCTCATTGTTCCCTTTGGAAGGCTGAACTTCTCTGATTGTTAAGACTCTCACCTAATTTCAAGCCTAAACTTATTGATGGCCAGTTTATATCCATTTGTTTTTGTGTCCACAGTGGCACTGAACTTAATTTCTTTCCCTCCCTGGCATTTTCTCTCTATAAATGCATCAGAGGGGCAATCATATCTCCCCTCAACCTTCTTTTGGTTAGGCTAAACAAACAGCCAAAGGTAGGTTTTCCATTCCTCAGATCATCCTTGTTGCCCTTCTCTGCACCTGTTCCAGTTTGAATTAATCATTCTTAAACATGGGAGACCAGAATTGCACACTGTATTCCAGATAGTCTCACCAGTGCCTTGTATAATGGTAGAAACACTTCCATGTTTCTACTGGAAATACCTTGCCTAGTGTAGCCTAGGACTGCATTAGCCTTTTTCACAGCCAGATCACATTGACAGCTCATAGTCATCCTGTGATCAACCAATACAGCCAGGTCTTTCTCCTCTTCTGTCACTACCAACTGATACGTCCCCAACTTATAGCAAAAATTCTTGTTATATATGTCTATATGCATGACACTGCTATTAAATTTAATTCCATTTCTATTACTCCAGTTTACAAGCTCATCCAGATCTTTTGGTATGATTTTCTGGTCCTCCTCCATAGTGGCAATACTGCCCAATTTTGTGTCATCTGCAAATTTTAATCGCATCCCCATTTTTTAGTGCCAAGGTCAGTAATAAAAATAAGAGTGGTCCCAAGGCTGATCCCTCAGGAACTCCATTAATAACTTCCCTCCAGCCTAACAGTTCACCTTTCAGTATGACCCCTTAAAGGAGTTCCTTATCCACCTTTTCCAATTTAGTAATTTCCCCATGTGAAACTGTATCAGATGCCTTATTGAAATCCAGGTAGATTAGATCTACTGCATTTCCTTTGTCTAAAAAAATCAGTTATCTTAAAGATCAGGTTGCTCTGGAATGATCTACCTGTTGTAAAACCATGTTGTATTTTATCCCAATTACTGTTAACCTCTAAATCCTTAGCTACTTTCTCTCTCAGAATTTGTTCCAAGACCTTGCATACAATTGAGTCAAACTAACAGGCCTGTAGTTTCCCCAATCACTTCCCCCCATTTCTTAAAAATAGGAACTATATTAACAATTCTCCAGTTATAGGGTATGACCCCTAAATTTACAGATTAAAAATCCTTGCTCTTGGGCTTGCAAATTCATGTGCCAGTTCCTTTAATATTCTTGGATGAAAAATTATCTGGGCCCCCTGATTTAGTCCTATTAAACTGTTTGAGTTTGACTTCCACCTCAGATGTGGTAATTTCTACCCCCATATCCTCATTCCTGTTAGTCACTGTGCTACTACCCCATAGCTCTTCATTAAAAACTGAAGCAAAGTATTTGTTTAGGTGTTGGGCCATGCATAGACTATCTTTAGTCCTCTACCCCATCCTCAGTGCTTAGTGGTTCCACTTCTTTCCTTGTTTTCTTTATATGGCTATAGAACGTTCTACTACTGGTTTTAATTCCTTTTGCAAGCTCCTGGCAGACAGCACACCCTTCTGTTCTCTGGATCAGCTCTGGTGATAGGCCTGTCTGTTCTTCTTAGTAGGGAGTCAGTCATGTAGACCTGCCTTTTCCTGGTGTTAGTGCAATTCTCTGGCCTTTGTCCTGTTCTTTCTGGCTGCAAGTCCTCATCTTTTATTCTCCCTTGCAATCTTCTGCTAGTCATCCTGCATCCTCCTGAGGCTCTGAACTCTGGGTATCTCCATTGGTTCTTCCCCCCCTTCTAATAAGAGTAGCCACTTTTCTTCTTCCTTGTCCTCCCTTCTTCAGTTACAGCCTGCTGTGCCCCTTCTTCATTTTCCAGCTCAGCAAATCTCTTCCTGAGCTCTATTTCTTCTTCACAAGTCGGTCTTTTCTTCTGCCTGATTCCCATAGTCACATGCTTCCACTGGCCACTTTCCTCACCCAGCAGTCTTGCCTTAGAGTTCTTCAGTCCAGCTTGCATTTGCAAGTCTAAACTTTTCCCTTCAGCGTTATCTTGCCTTTGCTCTATCATCTGCTCAAATCCTCTTCGAAACTCATCCATATTTCCCACCTGCATCTCCAAACCTCAGATCTTCTCTTCCATCAGCTCTATTAAGTGGCACTTTATACAAACGAAGCTCTTTTCAGGTACTTGCTCCAGGATTATGTACAGCCCGTAGCTTCCATATCCGGTCATCTTCCTGGTCTCTTCTATTGCTTGAGTTACTACTACTGCTGCTTCTGTATCTGTCGTAGCCTTCCCACCTAAAGTCCTGTCAAGGAAAAAGGGGGGGACCCCAAAACCCGAACACCACACCCTCCCTCCCCCAAACTCCCACACAGACTCTCCTGCTTACAGTTTTGTTTGCTGGCTTCTGTGCCGTTGGCTGACTGGCGCTAAAGGCAAAATGAGACAGTATTTAGCAAGTTCTAGATTTGCGATAAAATTCACCAGCAACTAATTGGTGACAGACAGGCCCATCTTATCTTGTTTGACAGTGAGGGGAAGTGACATTTGTTTCTAGCCTCCTCTGCTTGAAGATCTTCAGAGGAGCCACCTTCCCCAGGGGTCAAAGTGAAAGCCTTCAGTAGGGTTCAAATGCACTCACATGCTCTGCTGCGTTCTACTGTTTGAGTAGGACATACCAATTTTTTTCTCCTTCCCCTTAGCAAGCATCAAAATGAACTGTCATCAGGGAGCAACAATAATAGGATCCTCCCTCTTTTCGAGCAAAAAATAGTAGACATATCCAGTATCATCAGGAACACCTCACTGGTAAGAACTGGCCAGTTCCCACTTCTAAGCTACTGTTGCATGCTCTCTGCAAATTGAAGCATGCAATGTGGCATTGGTTACCTGCCATTCACATTTAAGGCTTTCTTCCAAACCATAACTACTAAAGTTTATGGGGTTTTTTTTTTGGACAGCTTAGATTCTGGAGCACATGGCAGAGATGAGAGGTGCCAATACACTGCATGGCATAAACATTCCTCCAATTCAAGCTGTGAGGGGTCTGTTTAGACTTAACTAGGAGGAAGAGCACAGGACTCTGGCAGCCATGGGTTCTGGTTAAGGGGATGGTGCCTGTTCCGAACAATCTATACAGATAGCAGCTTGGGCTTAGCTGAAACAGAAGGGACCTGAGCGAGAAAGTCACTCTCTTAGCAGAAAGCTGCTCTTGGATTAATAGAAGGCCCCTATGCTAGCCATGTTTTTGTAGCACCCACTACAGGCAATGAGAGTCTAGGATCTCAAGCAGCCAGGAAAGCAGGTAATTTCCAAGGTGCCCCCCCTGGGAACAGTCAAGTTATAGCCCCCTCCCAGCTCAATGGAGAAGTAGCTGAAAAGTTAGGCCAATGCTGGAAAGTTTCAAGCCAGGTCATTTATATCACGTTTAAGGTCCATAATACAAACTCTCGAACCTTAAATTTACAACATTACAGGAGGGGGGTTGGTTTTGCCCTCACTAGCTGAAGGGGTGTTAGAGGCCTGGCACTGAATGTCATCCCTCTGTTCGCTCACACACTGCTCCCATCATTTCAAAAGCACCAATAAAGAGCTTAGGGGTATTTTTGGGTCATTTTATTTTTAAAGTTGTGTTTTTGTACAAAAAATGTGCATTTTATTTAAACACCACCATGAAAAACAGTAACAGAACAAGTTCAGTGACTTCCTATTTCCCCATCTTATGAAAAGATTTAGTGAAAGTAATAAAAGCCAAAGAAAGTAAGAACTACATTTTCCTACTCCAAGCCCAGCCAAAAAAAACCAAAAACCTGCTTTCTGCCCCTCAAACCCCACCTCCCCTGCCCACTTCCTACTGGGCAGGCCTCCCTTCCAGAGAATAGGGAGCACAAGCCTCATCCTGCTCTTTGCAGTCTGTTTTTTCACCCTACAAAAATATATCCCCTTCCCTCAAGTGGTTCAACTATGTCCTCTACTAGATAGCTCTCTGCCAGCAACTCCCCTGGGGAAGGAGACTGGCTTATTATTCACTGACAAAGGTTACCCCACCCACACCCCACAAAAACAAAAATCAAGGTGCCTGAATATTCCAATGACTTTATGAGTCCTATAATGGTCACCTGGAGCTGCTGGTCTTCTAATGGGAGCAGCTCCAATGCCCCAGAAAACTGCAGCTCTGACTTCCCCAGCCAGCAGGGGGCACAGAAGCACCATCCTAGTGGCACAACTGAGCAGGGATGGAAACAACCCCCAGGCAGAGCTAACTTGTTCCATCCCTATGGCTCTGAAAGAGTGAATCTGACAGCTCACCCAATAGGGGCAGTGCCACATCCAACCCAGTCCACCTGCTCATTGGAACAGCACAGGGCCTGGCCTTGCTTCCTCAATACATTGCTTTTTAATGTAACAACTGGAGACAGTTACCCTGGTGTCAGCATTTGGTATAGCAGCGCTCGCTTAAACGTGTGCGCCCCTTGTTAAAGTACAATCTAGACTATTTCACAGCAAAGCAATTACTGTACTAACTCACACCATCATTTCCTAGAAGGACATAGTCAGGATCATAATCTTAAACATTTCCCAACTGCGCTAGTAGTAACATTTCTACTTAAAGAAATCTTGTAATAGAAATCAAGTGACTCTGCGGTCTTTAGGCTCTTGCCTTCGCCCTGGAAGTCAGTTTCACTTTCAGATTCTTGCTCAGCAGCATGTCATTATATTTGGCTTCCCAGCAACCAAGGAGGTTTAAAAAGAGACACTATTTCCCTTGACCCTTTTCAATAGGAAAAAGTCATGAAATCTTCCTGTCCCCTATTAGTTCTTCAGCAGCACCACCACCACCCCTTCCCTGTTTAGTGAAACCGAGGTTATTTGGCGATGGCCTTTTGCGGTAGCTAAAAGAAATTGGCCTGCACTGTTCAGTTCAGGCTACCATCAGGAAAAGGAAAGATTGCCAAGTGGCTATTGCCTGCTCCAGCCCCGCTAAGGATCTGGCTAGAGGGGAGAGATCCCTGCTATGATTACACTGGGGAAAGGGAGAAGGCGAGCAGTGAATGCTTTGCTTATGTCACAGCACAGAAGCGAAAAAAGCAGAAAGTGCATTTAAATAATTAAAAGCAAATCCAGTGTTTCACAGATTGAATAAACCTTACAGAGAAGACACAAATGCTCCCCCTAATTCTAGCTGTTTCTACATCAGGATTCCCCCCACCTCATGCCCACCCCGGGTTTCTCTCTAGATCTCATTGAGGGGACTCCCAGGCCTGCCAGGCACTGAATATTGGATAAGCACTTTTGCCATCTCATAGCCACACAGAACCCTGGGTAAATACCATTCTTCCCAGCTGCACAGCACTCTGCATAAGCCAATCACAGCATTACATTCAGAGGACATGCTCCTGGGGCCAGTGCTGCTCTGAAATAGAGGATTCTGGGATAGCAGGGGGATGACACACCAGCTGTGGAAGAAGCAAATCATTTAAAGAAAACCAGAAGAGTAGAGCGTGAAAAGAGAAGTGGTTAGGTAACACCTGGTTAAGTGAGTGGCGGCGGCGGGCGGAGGGGGGGGGGGGTAAGGATGGAAGGAGAAAAGGAACTGATGTCTAATGCCTGATCACATTGGTAGCAAATGGTCATCCCGTTCTTCTGACTCCTCCCCCAGTTGGTCATCACCCACACCACGGTATGCAGCTGGGGCATTCTGGGGCTTAGACCGGCAGATGAAATCACAACCGTCCTGCAGAAACAAGTTATTGTACTGGGATCAGACCACATGCAACAGATTATGCTAAACAATAGCAGTCCCTCTCATGTTTCTCCTGTTCTGTTCTCCTATTGCACCTATCACTGAAGTATTTGAGAGATCCCAGAACTCTTTACAAAGAGTAAATACACAATGCCAGTAATCCTGAATCCAACCACTTCTTGGGTGGAACATGGTAGCTGATTTATAGCACCAGGCAACATTATAGTAGGTCAGTAAGTGAAGAATAACATCTCTGACTGTAACTGCTGGGAGCGAATTTTAGGGAGGCAAAGAACTTTTCCCTGTTGGAATTTGGCCAGACACTAAGGTTACTCTCTCCCCATGTGAAAAGGGTGGCTATGCTTGGGCAGGGCCTCTGGTTTACACAGCAATTGCAGGATGGTACCTTCCCCAGCATTAGCACCATGGTGGAACATTAAGGCCAGCAGTGACTCAAAGGGGAGAATGCCCCCCCCTCAAATGAGTCATCTGCTTCCTGCTGCACCAGAGTTCTCTTTGGGAGGTCTCGCATCCAAGAACAGTCACCCTGAGCATAAAGCTTGTGCAATCTGACAAAAATCATAGGCCCTGAGTGTGGGGCAGCTGCCCCTTTTTTTTTTGGCCTTACAGTTGGGCTGGATTGGGGATCTGCACTGATTTTCACTTACTGCCATCAAGTTGCCGAGATCCTGCCAGAAGGTAAAATGTGGGAACTGCTCCATGCCCTTTGCTCCCACCACCAGGCGCTGGTAGAGGAATCCCCCAATGATATAGACTGCAACCAGCGAAGCGAACCTGGAGGAGAATGTTGAAACCGGAGTGTGAGAGGAAGCTGAAGGCAACCTCTCCCCAGCTGGAGATTGGGATTGGAGCCAACAGCTCAGTGAAAATGGGGCCATAAATAGCAGCTACACCTGCAGAGAAGGTACCACAGATGTCGATCAGCATGCATAAACCCATCCCAAGCATTGCCTAGCTGAAGTGCTGTCTCATGGTTAGCACAGGGGACTGGGAGTTAGGACTCCTAGATTCTATTCCCAGTTCTGCTACTGACTTGCTGTGCAATCTTGAGCAAGTCTCTTCTCTCTGTGCCTCAACTTTTCTATTTGTAAAACAGGGGAAAGGATAACGTTTCCCTCTCTCTCATGGGGTATTCCGAGGTTTAATCCTTGTCAAGCTCTTGTAGATCATTGGATGAAAAACCTTACACAAGGGCAGAGTTACAGCAAGCATTGGCCATGGATATGCAAGACAGGCCACTGATCTGTTCTGGTATATCATGTGCTATGTTCCTAACAGGTACAGAGGCCTGGACCTGGAGCCCTAGAACAGACAGGCTCCTACAGTAACTCACGTGATGAGCAGGATGGACCCGATGCTGAGGTGGGAGTCCTCGGGTGGGCAGGCCAAGCTGCTGTCCATCTCAAAGAGGTACAAACATTCCTGCTCCTTTTCCCTCTCTTCTGATAGCAAGGTAAAGCCGCTCTGGTTGGGTGGGGGTGGGGAAGAGGAAACATACAGCAGGCTAGACACAGATAAGTCCCCCTATTTGCACAGAAGCTCCCAGCTTTGCCAAAGGTTCCAGTAATCCCCCCACTCCGGAATTCTCACATGCGGAGACTCCCAGCTGACCCTGGCCTGCCATCTCCAGAACTCTCCCCCCCAAACTGTCCCATTTCAGACACTTCTAAAATAAACAACATACCATCTCCTATTAGCTGCCTGCTAAGCCAGTCAAAGGCAGCACAACCATTACTGGTGCAGAGACCCAACACCCACTAGACAGAACAAGTAAAACCCCTCTGGCTGCTTCACAGCCTCCGCACCCACAGTGACACTCTTCCCCAATCTTTCTCGGATTCACTCCTGCTTCACAGCCACGCACTCCTCTTCAACCTTTACACCTGGCCCCACAGTCTCCCCCAGGCCACTCACTGATAGAGTCTTCCGGTTGCAAGAGATCATTATCATGGCCTTCCTTTTCTCACCATGGCAGTGGCTGCCATATGAATCCCCCCCCTTATAAATCAGCATGATCCAGTCACCTGCCAAGAGAAAAAACAAAGAGGGCTGCAGGTCAGGAGCGAGGTGGACTGGCAGAGCAGGAGAGGAGGGTTGAGGGGAGTCTTACTTCCACTGAAGACCTGTGTCTCATTGATTCTTCCCACCACTGTTTGCTTCTGGTCCTTTAAATTGATCTGTACCAGGCCTGATTGGGACAAAGAGCTGTCGACCTCTCTGCACACCCTGAACTTGTAGGTGTACTTCTCCTCTGGGCTCGAGGTCACGTTGCTGTCAAAGCTGTGCAGAGGGGACAGATAACAGATGGCTGCTTTATTGAATCCCACACAGGTTATTAGATCTTTAACATTCAGAAATTCCCCCACCACACTGTATCCATTTCTAAGGCCCAATTACGGCTTAAACTAGGCCTTGCCTTTCAGGTAAGCTCACTTGCTCCCTACCTCTCCACTGGTGGGGTGTCTGGAAACTGAGCTCCTCTGTTAACCCCAGAGGAGGTAGAGCATGGACAGCAGCAATGCAAGCTCCTCCCTTACCATCTCACTCTTGTGCCAGGAGGCATCCACCTCTATAGGGAAAAGGGAATCCTGTCACTGTGGCCCATTCAGTCCTCAGAGTGACAGCCGAGACTGCCATGAAAGGAGCCCATTAGTGCTGATTGTGCTGGTGATTCTGTGATGTGGGCTCCTGCCCACCAGGAAACAGAACAAGATCCATCAAATTTGTCTCACCCAGGTTAGTTAGAACCAGTGTCCCATTCTTCAGTGCCCTATGAGCCATTCACTCTCTCCCAATCTTCGACTGACTGGACAGGATCCAGATCCCAGTCCCTGCAGTGGGCCAGAGGGTTGCATGCACTGTACCTCACGGAGCTCAGGGGTTCCAGCTTCTCCAGTAAGGCCTGTTCTCTTTTCGACTCTTTGCCCTGGTCTCCTACTAGATCGCAGTGCTTCACTTCCTGATCTGCCATCACGACCATGGCCAGGGCCACAAGGACTAGCAGCGCAGTACAGGTACCACAGAGAGACGGGAACATTCTGCATACGTGCCATTGCACAGAGAGAGAGAGAGAGACAGGCACAAGAAGGATTAACACTTAAACACCTCATGCCCACCCCAACACACAAACCTCAAGGTCAAAAAGACAGTGACTGGCCACTTCTTCATTCATGGCTGCAAAGGGGAGGAGCTGAGGCCCAGGAACATCTCAGAGATCCTCAGAAGATTCCAAAGCCCAGCCCTGGGTACAGCCAGGGCCAGCTTGGGACCCACAAAACCACTGGCCCAATCTACAAATCTTCCTTGACTTTACATTGGGGTAGTAAGATCTTGCTGCTGAGTGCATTAACTGGCACTCGCTTGGCCAGAACAGAACCCAACATGCTTTAGGCTGGCCAGCTATGGAAACCAGGGTCAGTTTCAGGCATAAGCCACTATTTATTGCACCCCAAAGGGGCATCTGTCATCAGAGACAGACATGGAATCATTCTAATCAATTGTCTTTGCAGGTCTTGTGTAAAGAGCTTGTGGGGGACAATGGCCAGGATTAGTCAGGCTTTGTCTATTTCAAGCTCCTTAATCCTAATAATTGTATTAATTTATGTTGCCCTTCCCTATCTCCTTTCCACTGAGGATCTGAAAGTATTTTATAGGCACTGAGTTTCACAAGGTCAGGACTGGCACCCCTAATTTACATATGGGGAAACCGAGGCACGGAGGTGACGAGTGTAAGGTCACATAAGTCAATGGCTGAGCTGGAAATACAACCCAGAAGCCCAGGTTTCCAGTCATAGAATATCAGGGTTAGAAGGGACCTCAGGTCAGCTAGTCCAACCCCCTGCTCAAAGCAGGACCTCTCCCTAACTAAATCATCCCAGCCAGGGCTTTGTCAAGCCTGAGTTTAAAAACCTCTAAGGAAGGAGATTCCACCACCTCCCTAGGTAACCCATTCCAGTGCTTCACCACCCTCCTAGTGAAAAAGTTTTTCCTAATATCCAACCTAAACCTCCCCCACTGCAGCTTAAGACCATAACTCGTTGTTCTGTCATCTGCTACCAATGAGAACAGTCTAGGATCCATCCTCTTTGGACCCCCTTTCAGGTAGTTGAAAGCAGCTATCAAATCCCCCCTCATTTTTCCTCTTCTGCAGACTAAATAATCCCAGTTCCCTCAGCCTCTCCTCACAAGTCATGTGCTCCAGCCCCCAATCATTTTGTTGCCCTCTGCTGGACTCTTTCCAATTTTTCCACATCAGTCTTGTAGTGTGGGGCCCAAAACCTGACACAGTACTCCAGATGAGGCCTCACCAATGCCAAATAGAGGGAAATGATCACGTCCCTCAGTCTGCTGGCAACACACCTACTTATACAGCCCAAAATGCTGTTAAGCCATCTTGGCAACAAGGGCACACTGTTGACTCATATCCAGCTTCTCATCCACTGTAACCTCTAGGTCCTTTTCCGCAGAACTGATGCCTCGCCACTCAGTCCCTAGTCTGTAGCAGTGCATGGGATTCTTCCGTCCTAAGTGCAGGACTCTGCACTTGTCCTTGTTGAACCTCATCAGATTTCTTTTGGCCCAATCCTCTAATTTGTCTAGGTCCCTCTGTAGCCTATCCCTACCCTTCAGCATATCTACCACTCCTCCCAGTTTAGTGTCATCTGCAAACTTGCTGAGAGTGCAGTCCACGCCATCCTCCAGATCATTAATGAAGATATTGAACAACACAGTCCTGTGTCTTAATCAAAAAACATCCTTTAAACATTGAGCTAATTGCTCAGAGAAACAGACAATGACTTGCCATTCAATAGCAGCCACACAGTCGATTTCTCTTCCCAACCACAACTCCCAACGAAGATCCTAACATTGACAGAAACCAATTAATACACTGACCCAAAATTTTATAAAAATCAGGCTAGGGCTACAAAAGCACAAAGAAATTAACAGAAAGAAGGTCCAGACTGCTGAATAGTGAAGTTACATGAGGGGAATAGTGAAAGCCACACTGAAGAATTCATAGAGTTACAAGGTCTGCCACTAAGGGACTGTCTACACTGGAGTGGTTCTGAGAGCAGGAGGGAGTGGCTAGCTGCCCAAGGATGTATCCAGGGTCTTGGGTGGGAAGCATACTTGGTGTGGCTACCCCTTCCTGCCGCTCACACTGCCACAATTACACTTCTGCTTTTAGCATGCTAGCTCGATCAGTTAGAAATTACACCTCTAGCTTTAGTGTAGACATACCCTAAAGCTTGTAACTATTGTGAGACCTCTTAGATCAGCGTGTATGGCGGACAAGTAAATCTGAAGAGGTTATTGTATAGAAGAGGAAACTGAGGCACAAATAGCTTGTGACTTGCCCCCTAAAAAAGGCACACAACAAGTCAGAACCAGCATAAGAACTCGTGGCTTCTTGGCTCCCGTGCTCAGAACACACGTCTCTCTCAACAGTAGCAAAGACCTTTCTGGCTGGCTGCTTTGTACATATTTAATTCATGTGGTTGTCAAACTGAAAGTGATATAAAAATACTGGCGCCTTCCGGTACTTTAGCATCCCTCATGCAGAAAAGACCTCAACATGCTCGGAAGACTGCATGTATATGGGACACCCTCCTACAGCTGAAATGCAGCCATATCGGATGGAATACAGTAGCGATGTAACAGAACCAAGCAATGCTATACAAGAGTTCAGGACAGGAAGTGAGGACTGAAACAGTTGAGGGGAAATTCAGAAGAGAGAATCCAGTGACCTTAGCTAGAGTTCAGGCAGGACACAGTAGCAACAATGTATGCAGAAAAGGCCAGGTTCACACCTAGTGTAACTACAACCTGCAGCAGGCTCACCCTGGGGATGAGTTTGCCCAAGGATTGATTTTGAACAGGAGACAGTTTCCACTGTCAAAACACTCAAATTTAACCCAGTTCCTCTATCCCCACCAGACTGTTCACTTCCTGTCTGTGTCCCCTTCTGCTTTGTAACAGGCGGCACAATTTTTTCCACTTTTGCTGAGATGTAAAACCCAGGGCCAGAGCCACTCATGGCCATTAAAGATCACATGACCTTTTTTTTTGCCACAGAAGGGGAGCTAACCACAGTGTTCTGGTCAAATTCCAGCTTGGAGGATTATATCCTCTCCCTTAGATACCCCCTGAAGATTCAACTGAATTTGGAGTTCTGCTTTCTTTCTTGACACAAAACTCAAATTGTTGTGTTCTGTTGCCATGTGGCTATTAAGCTGCTGTGTACTACCCAGAGATTGCTGCATTTCAGTGACTGGATAGTTCTGTTATATAAGGACTGCAAAGTGTGTTAGGATCCATCCAATATCTGGGTTCAGGAGTCTTCAGTGACCTTGTCCTCTCCTCTCATTAGTTCCTTCTCCTTTACAAATTTCTTCCATCCCAAGTCTGGAGACCATGGGGGTGTTTCTTCCCTCAGTATTCACCATATCCTCATATAGGAGTGGATAGATGGCCTGACAGCCACGGCCTTTCAGTTCCCAGAATGGGACTCTGTGCAATGGGTACCTAGTAATACTCCCACACAGCAGCAGACCCCAAGGCCCTTGTAGTCACCTCCCCAACCACAAATTGGCCACTAAGGACAATGGCGCTGCTGAAACTGCATCCCAGTTCACAGCTGTAACAAAGTAGGGTTCAATTGGCCTAAACTGTAAAGGGCATCCTGAGAGCACTTGGGATCCCCCAACCACACATCCCCAACAGCCAGCCTCTTATTGCACCTCAATAAATTTCTCAGCCCATCCTCTTGACATTCACCCACCCATAGGCTTTCACCACCCCCAATAACACCACCACTGATAGCTAACAGATGCTGAAAACAAATTACTGGGGAAAAGGGAGAAACTCACCTGACACTGGGACAGCGAGGTAGGTGTGGCATGAAGTATCTGCGAGGCTGCACGTCACACCGTTGCTACCTACCCACCCAGACACCGGTGTCTGCACCACCCACCCACGAGGCCACGTGCCTTGCCACTACCTCCCGTGGCCAGCCCCACGCACCCAAGTTGTGCCAGTCCAGCTCAATGAGCTGCACGCATCAATGCTGTGCGCGCCACGTGCGCCCACCCTGGGGAATCTCGCGTGCCGCCGGCCTTTACCCACCTAATGAATTATTAACAAGAGCTCATGAATATTCACCACGCATAAATTAATAACTAATTAGGTATTCATTAATTGGAACGGGAGCCCCTTCCCAGGCGTGACTATCAGTGGGGGAAGGTCTCCCCGCCGCTCCTGCCTGCCCGCTCACCACCTGCCTGCCCAGTATCTCCCTCAGTCCCACCCGGTGATCCGGAAGCAGGAAGTGGGTAAGGGGCGGGCGCTAAGGCTAGGCAACAAGGACTGGCCTCAGGCCCCGCCCCTGACCCATTTCCCCAATGGAACATGAGAATGGCCCAACGTGCCTCGCCCACGGGTACTTTTTGCCCAATGAGAGGAGGGGATAGAAGGCGTCTGGCCCTCAAAGCTCTCCTCACCCAATCAATGGTGAACGACCCTCTCTACCCTTATTCGTCCAATGGGCAGTGAGAACAGCCACGGAGGCCCCCGCCTACGACTTCATCTCTTCCAATGAAGACTGGAATTCAAAAATTGGCACATGAGAAGACCCAATGAGCGATGAGAGTCACAGAAGCCGGACTCACCCCGCAGAATGCTCTCTTCCAATGGCGGCGCAGGGCTGGTTACTGAACATCGCCACACCCCGACCCCCTCCCGAGGGCGGCTCACGAGACTCTCACGCGCTACTCACCTGTCATCTGATTTCACCACCCGAGAAGGCGGGCGCGGTGCCTGTTGGGAGTTGTAGTCCTGGGAGCCCGAGGCTCGCTGGGCGGCTCTTTAGCCGGAGCGCGGGGAGATGGGGCCGTGCGGGGCGCGGCTCTGAGCGGGCCCGGCCCGGATGGCACAGTCGGGTCACCGCCAGGGGATGGCGGGAGCCCTCGGGCCATGGCAGGCTCCGGCCCCCTGGTTTCGCTGGCCGGCGGGTGTCCCCTGCCCGGGGCTCGTAGGTCCGGGATCGGCCCCAGACCGTTACTGCCGCTCGTGGGCCGGGGCGCGAGCGGTGACGGTGACGCTCCTCGGGGCCTGAGCTCCGCGCGGCGTGGCCGCCCCCGGGCCCGCGCCCAGCCCTGACCCCGCCCCCCCCTCCTCGCGCTGCCCCTCGCGGGTCGCTGGACGGGGCGGTGGGGCCCGCGGGCGGGGGTGGGCGAGGGAAGCGGCCGGGACCTAAGCGCTGCAACCCCGGCGGTTCCGAGGGGATGTGGGCTCGCGCCTCACCTCGGCGCCTGGCCAGGAGCTCGCGGCCCTGCCGGGGGGCGCTCACCCCTGTGCCCCCTCAGGGCTGCACCTGAAAGCCAGGGGGAGTCTGAGTCCGGCGCATAAGGGGCGGGTGGGAACAGCTCATAGCGCTGCTTGGGGATCTGCACTGGCTGCCCAGAGGTCTCTACATGGAGACCAAGGTCTTGGGTATGCATCCGAAGAAGTGAGGTTTTTACTCACGAAAGCTTATACCCAAATAAATCTGTTAGTCTTTAAGGTGCCACCAGATTCCTTGTTGTTTTTGTAGATACAGACTAACACGGCTACCCCCTGATACTTGACACCATGCAAGGCACTAAATTTAGCCGTATGGAGTGGAAATCCATCAAAAAAAAGTATGCATCCGAAGAAGTGAGGTTTTTACTCACGAAAGCTTATGCCCAAATAAATCTATTAGTCTTTAAGGTGCCACCAGACTCCTTAAGGTCTTGGGTGTGACCCAGGGGTTGTCAATAGGCCACATCTGGACCTCCGGACACATTGTGATGGACCAAAAAATCCTTCTATTCACGTACTATTATTGTGGTGTGAAAATGTTTCTCTGGAGTCTGGACCTTGATTATGCCTTAACCCAGAAATTTGAACCTTCACAAAAATAGACTGCCCCTGGATAAAGCCCTCAGTGGCATATGACCAGCCTCCCTGAGGGCTCGCCCTTCTCTCTGCCTTACTGCCACAGCTGTAGTCACGGGGGCACTCCAGTGGATCCCCCTAGTTAGGAAAGAGAGGGGTGGCTGGCAGGGTGCTCTCCCTGTTAGGGCTCGGAGACTCTGGGATCTCCTCCCCCTCTTGGTCTGAAATAGTCAGAATCTGATTATTTTCCAGGCACGCTGCGAAAGACACCTGTTTGATAAGGTTTTTGGAGAGGGCTGAGGGTATGCTTCTTAGATAGTGAAGGGGAAGAAAGGAGCTTCTGTAGGTGGCTGGCTAAGCTGCTGACGTGATCATTTTAATGTTGCTGAGGTTTGAAGTGTATTAGTGAGTGTTAAGGCACCAAGGGACTTGGAAAGGCATCTTTATAGTTATTTGTAAATTTAAATAAATAAATATCAACTATTGTATCTACACTAATGGCTCGCAGGTCTACCTCTCCACTGTCTCTTGTCTTCTGTCCTAGCTAAAATCTAGGCCTGTCTGACATCTCATGGACGTTCAGCCATCAGCTGAAGCTCAACATGGCCAAAAGAAAGATCGTAATCTTTCCCCTCAAGCCTCTATCCTCCCTTTTTCACTCACCATGGATGACGCCACCCATCCTCATTGTCACAAAGGCCTGTAACTGGGTGTCATCTTTGACTCGGTCCTCTGTCTAGATCAGCGGTTCTCAACCCACAGGCTGCATGTGATCCAATTAGCACACAGCTGCAGCCCAGCTCAGCTATGTGCTAAAGGCCATGGGCTGCAGGCTGCCCTGCCACGTGGTGGGCTCTGGGTTCCGGGCTGCCCTGCCACACGGCGGGCTCCGGCATCCGGGCTCCCAGCTGCCCTGACATGTACCGGGCTGTTGGCTGCCACTGGCCCTGCAGGGCAGAGCTCAGGGTCTGGGCAGCTGGCTGCCGCCTGGCCCACTCCACAGCAGGGCTTGGGATCTGGTCAGCCAGCTGCTGCCTGGCTCCCCACACAGCATATGTGGCCCATAATGATAAATAGGTTGAGAACCACTGGTCTAGATGCTCACATCCCAGCTGTATCTACTTCTTGCTGGTTCTTCCTGAATAATGTCTTTAAGATTTACCATATAGATAAACTTCACTTTATCTCATGTCTCAACTACAAGTTCCTCCTCTCTGGTCGTGAGAAACCACTTTTTGTTCCACTTACGTTCATTCAGAGCACTGCTGTAAAAATCATTTACTTGCTTTGTCACTTTGACCATTTCCTCCTCTGCATCCTTCCACTCTCTTCCCCCATCTCCACTGCATCAAACACTATTTGTCTTCCCTTTAAAAGGCCTTCATGGCCTAGCTTCACTCTTATGTCATCTCATATACACTTTTGAGATGTGACTGTTGCCTCTGTTCTGCCAATGATTCCAGCTTTCATTGCCCATTTGCTGAAATTGTCAGTTTTCCAAGAACACCTTTGCACTTTCTTCTATGCTGCCCCTTATGCATGGAAAGAGCTCTCCGTAAAAGTCCGCAAAACCACCACCTTGTCCTCTCAAATCTCCTCTTGGTTATGTTGCCTCCAAAGTGCTTGGCAATGATGAGGCAGTTGGTCTACTGTGACTGCTGCTTATTACACCGATCATAATAATCTGTTTCCTTGTGCTCCCTCTGTATCAGCGTATTGGCTCTTGCCTCCATTTAAGCTACCCCTTCCTTGAATTCACTTCTTTCACACGGCTGAAGGTGGAGGCTGCCAGATTGCATTTTTTTTTTAAATGCAGCCTCAGGTTTCCTGTTTTGCCTTATTCTGAGCTCTTTCGCTCAACAGCCTGATTCAAACTCCTTACCATACACACTCCTCATCTTGGCATGGATGTAAGCAGGGCAGAAACCTCTGTGGCAGAAATGAGTGAAGAAATAATCTATACTTCTGTACGGTTTTCACAGACACCGCCAGTCTGTTCCATTGATGTCAGGACAAATAGAGGTAAGCAAGCCAAATGAAACTGGTGAATCCCAGAGCAAAGGCTCTGTCATATGGTATCTACAGGAGCTATTGCAGAAATGTTCAGAGCTGGTCATTGATATTTGGGTGTCCAGCTTGAGACATTTGGGGTTTGATTTTTTAAAAGTGCTGAGCACTCACAACTCTATGGGAAATCAGTGGGAGCTGAAAGAGCACAGCATCTCTGAAATTAAGGCCCCTAGTAGGATTCTCAGGTTGGGTACCCGAAATCTGTAGCTTTCTTGAGCTTGACTGCATGACAGTAGACTGGAGAATTTAAGCCTATGTAGATTAATAAAGATGAAGATACAGATAAATTATTGGCATATATGAGTCATACATGAGAGAGGGAAAAGATCTTTTAGATCATTCTGTCCGTCTTCCAAGGGCGAGTGCAAGATTGTTTCATGTGGCATATTATATTTTTTTCAGTGTTTTCTTCAGTCTAGTTTTAAAAGACCCCCGTGACAGAGCTTCCATCTCTTCTCCTGAGAGACCATTCCACAGCTCAGCACATCTCACTATCAGGAAGATTTTCCTGGGATTCATCTTATATTTTTCCTTTCATAGTTTCCTCTCCCCTCTTGCTGTTTATACCCTTCAGATATTTGCAGGCTGTTATGAAGTCCCCACCTTAGTTGTGGTTAAGTTAAGATGGATTTTTAGCTCTCTTAATTTCTCCTTAAAATTGTTTCCTTCCAGTCCCCTGATCATTTTTGTTGCTCTTCTCTGAACTCCCCCCAGTTTGCTGATGTCTAATAATGAGGTGCCCACATTGAACATAATATTCCAGGTAGGGTCTCATCAGAACTGTGTAGAGAGGGGCTATCGCTTCACTGTCCCAAGAAGAGTTGCTTCTGTGTATGCAGCTAAAACACACATTCCTGGTGCCTGGGACTGTTGATGCCACGTGCCTAGATATAAATCTGTTTGAACAAAGCTGCATAGGAAACTTCAAATATCCACCTGCCAGTGAAGTCTCACTCAGTTGGTAGGAAACCTCCTTGGTTTTGGATATGTTTTCTGGCTGTGTTTCAAGTCCATTACGTGGGAGATGTGGATTGTATTGTGTATATTTCAATTAGATGTTTGCAGTCTTTCTTTCGTTTCAAAATCTCCCTTTTCACATTGTCCCCTGCTGAGCTAAGGCTAGAGGAACAGAAAAGGGGAAGCTCCTCTTCACACCCACATCCCTGTGCCTCCCCAAGAAACAGCGTCTGATCACTGTCTATCTCATTCCTCCAAATCTCCAAATGAAGTATCTCTGGGCTGAAGCAAGGCTCTTACTACCTCTTATTGGGTCATATCTTGTCATTTCCTGGGGAACAATGCAGTTCACCACAGTCAACTCTCCAAGAGCTTTGTCCAGTCCCTATTTAAATGTCCTGTGTGTAAAAGGGTTCCCTCCTCTTCCTTTAGGGAGACTCTTCTCCAGTCTCACAGGTTCTTCACTGTTAGGGAATATTTTGTGATTATCCAGTGTGAGATTTCCACTTCTTGTTCAGTTTCATCTCATCTTGGTTTTTCCCTTTCCCCACACAAAGCCTCTCTCCTCATGTGATACCATAACAGCTGAGATCAGCAGAGGCCCTTAGGCCTCCGGCACCTTGGTTCAACAGGGCAGAACTACAGGCACTGAATTCTCACTGAAGGACCCTCAACTCTGGAGTTTGCTTTCCTTCTTAGTTGGATGGATCCTGCCAAGACTCAGATTCAGCCAGTATGTGCCGGTGCAGCATACCAACACTGCTTGCATGCTGCTATCTTATTCTCCAAAATTTAAGTTTTCGTGTGTTTTAAAAAGTCTCTAGCTGTAACGGTTGGTTGGAGAGATGCACTCAGCTCCTGTTTTCAAGGCTAAAGGATGCAGTGATCTCTATCTGTGTTTGCAGAGTCTGAAACAGTAATTCTGTGGTGTGTGAACTGCCCTATTTATCTCAGTGGGAGCCACACCGGATACACAAGGATAACAATGTTGACATTTCAAGTATTAATTATTTCATTGCTCACCTGTTGAAGTCCCAGGAAGGTGGGCATGCACAAACCTCCCCACAACTGAAGGCATGGGCAGTGCGTGAACCGCTGGCTGGGGGAGACTAGCCCCCAGCCCTGCCCCATCTGCCCAGGGCCTCGCCCCTTCCACCAGAGCCCACCCACTGTGGCTGCCGGCCCCTGCGCCAGGCTAGTGCCCCCAGCCCTGGGGGGAGGGAGGGCGATGCCAGTGCAGCCCCCCGGAACGCCGGGAGGGTGGAGCTGGGCTGCAGCATGGGAAGCAGCAGGGGGGCTGGGGGTGGAGCATGAGTGGGCCATGCCTATCTGGGGAGGCACAGCCTCCCCTAGCCTGTGATACCTGCCACCCATGGCTAAAGGCTAAGGAGAGGAGCCACTGAACCCAGGGCTCAAATAATTATGGGTGACAACAAAAGAAATCAGCTCACTGTGAGCATGTAGAAAAGGAGAGGGATGATCCTATTATGAAGGTCTGTGCAATCTACTGAGTGATACCTCATTTTTGGCACCATGAGTGATTGGCCTTGGGAGAGTACTGCCACTTTCCCCAGTCAAGAAGGGGCCAAACCTAAGGAGCCTAGTAGAGCCCAAAAGAGCATCTGACCCCTCTTGAAGGAGAGCCACGCTCACGAAGCCCAGTGGTGTATATGTGCCTCACTCAGGGGAAACCAAACACACAGAGCCCATGGGTGTCTTTGCACCCAGTGGTGGGGAACCAAGCCCAAAGATCAGGCATGATCACATTTTGAACATCTATACAATTGACTGTGAGTGATATCTTGTGGCTGGATCTTGGAAGGGTACCACTGCCTTTATTTTGGTTTGTTTCCATCTGCACCCTGGATCCTGAGTCTGCTGACCTTGATAGTCTGGCTCAAGGCCTTTTAACTTCCCCAGCCTTTGGGGAAGGGGCAAGATTAGGAAAGTGTATGTGGGTTCAATGGATATTGATAACTTATTGGGACTAACTGATTAAGGCAGATGAATTTATAGGGATACATTTATTTCTGGTTTGTGATTCTTTCATTGTACATGTGCCAAGAGCCCAGTGAGAGGGCGATTTAAAAGTCAAAATAATAACATAGCCAGCACAGCTACAGTTGTAAGTAAGCAACTGTAGCCGTCACAATTCTATTTTAGTCTTTCCTCATTCATATTGTGTTGAAATTAGTTTTTCATGGCAGCAGGAACTTTGGTTCTGTGGGAAAGATGCAACGTCTAGACTGAGAGGTTGAGAGAGGAGGATCTGGGACGCATACTCTGTTTTTGAGAAGAGGGAGGAACTGAAAAGTTTGGACAGGTGACTTCTCAGAACTGTGAAACCAGACTTCAGTGTTAAGTGTGAGCAGATATTTATCTTCTGTTTGAGCTATTTTTTGTTTATAATCAATGTGTGCAAAAGATTATGTGATGGAGATGGAGCTCCCCCTTCCCTCTTAACATCAGGTTTTGCGGGATTTCTCAGGCCCTCAGACTGAGTCCAATATCTTGAGGCACTCAACAGCCACACTGTGCTAGTAAAACTGTAATCATAATAATGAATTGTTATCCAAAGGTCTCGTCCTAGGCATTGTACAGAGATGAACAAAGACATGATCAATGTCAGAGAAAGGAAGTAACTTTTCCATCTGAAACTCCAGGAAGAATTCTAGAGAGGCAGAATGTAGTTATATGATTAGGAACCTGGACAGGATGCTGAGGTTAAAACTACCTACTCAGGCAGAAAGTACCAGGAAATCTTTAAATCAACATGTGGAGAAAGTCTTATTTTTACATTGTATCTGAAAAGTAGCCACTCCAGGAGCACAAAATCATTCGTCAGCACCACAGTGGAACATTGGAGTCAGTAATGATTCTTCAGGAACAATGCTCCTTATTGAGTCACATGCACCATCCATGTCCACACAGCGCCCTAGCCGAACTCTGAGGTATTGGGGTCAGGTCTGATTCAGAGGAAGGTGCTCCCTTACCAGGAGTGCTCCCTGCCGCAAAATATCCCGTAGCACTGTGTAGGGCTGTTGAGTTCAGTGTTGTGGAATTACTGATGCCAGGGTAGTGCAGATATAGGCAGCTATTTCTGGGTATGGATATATTATTAAAGGAACTATAGGGAGATGTAAGCAGTGCATCCCTTTTGGGGTATAAAATTTATAGCCTTCTCTGTAGCCATAAGCTGTTTGGGACAGGAATGCTGTTATTGTTGGACCCATTTATAAATTGTCCAGTACCACGTGTGTGTACAAGGCTAAAAATACAGCTATTAATGGGGATGCATAGTCAGGTAGGTGTATACACCATACATTTACCATGGTTCCTGTTTTTTCTCTTCCAGCTCCCCAGCACTGGTCATCTGGCCTGTACAGCTTGGCAGTAGGTGTTGGGACACTGAGCGCCCTCATGGTGATTGCAGTGGTAGTATGCACGGTTTGGAGGAATGGTGAGTGTCCAAAGAGACATTGATGTGAACAACCTGAGATCACAAGATGGGAGATCTGTTCTCAATTCACCTAAGCAGAGAAAGCAAGATTCTGATTACCGTTATACTATGGCAAATTGAGAGTAACTGCACTGAAGACACTGGAGATATACTCTAGCTTTGCACCCTGTAAAGGAAAGCAGAAGCTTGCTTACAGCTTACCGAGGTCACCCCCTACGGAGACCCCAGAGGGTAGATCCTTTAACTAGGCCTTGTTTCCTAGTTAAAGGAAGAGCAATGAAATATAATGAAAGGTGTGTTGTTGTGTTCCCCCCCCCCCCCCAGATTTGTCTACCGTTAGACAGTGAATTGAGAAATAAAAGTATTACCGGTATGACCTTCTTAGTGTAGCATGCACAAGAAGGTGCTAAACCCCATATGCATATGCTGCATGCTGCTGTGAGCTGTGGTCACACCTTTTCCACTTCTCATCCTGTGAAACAATCACACCCGCGGTATGTTGTGACCTTTTCCCCTGTTTTTCAAACACGCAGCACCTGTCTTGCTTTCAGAGGGCTAAATTCTGCTCTCACAGGATTAAGTAACTGCATCCACTGAAGTCTGTGGAATTATCCAAGTGTCAGAGGAAGATCAGCCCTATAGTGCACACAACTGATCAAATGCAGAGGTGATGTAAAGAGTGGTGCAAATTACACAAAGGGCCTGTGATTCCATTGCCTTGTATAGTTGTTGTTTATACTTTTATTCCTGACTCTCACGTCCCTGCCTTACAGTCCATCCTTTTCACATGGCTGTCGTGTTCTACCCAAGGTGGCTACATTTTCGCAAGTGGGTGTGCAGTCCTGGCATGTATCCCGGCGATAAAATGCCCTAAAATGCTTCAGAGTGAATAGAAAGAGAAAAGTCATTATGATTCCTTTGCAGATCGCTCCTGTCCTGGATGCCCTGACCAGTGGTTTGGTTACAGGAGCAGCTGTTACTACTTCTCCAAGATGGAAAAAGGATTGGAATTCCAGCCAGGCATCCTGTTCTGCAGAAGGATCACATCTCCTGGTGATCAGTGATGCCAAGAAAATGGTAAAAGTCTGTCAGTATCATTACATGAGGCTCTTTCATTGTCTTGCAAATGCTTCTGTGATTTGCCTCCAGTGCATGCTATCATGCTGACACCAATTTACTATAAAGGGGCGAAAAACCCCTTCATTATAACAATGTTACGCAGAAGGCTGACATTTTCAGTCTACATTTAATAAGGCTACCATATGTCCGGATTTCCCCGGACATGTCCGGCTTTTCGGTCTATAAATAGCCGTCCGGGGGGGATTTTTAAAAATCTAAAAATGTCTGGGATTTCTCCCTGGTCGGCTATTTATAGACAGAAAAGCGGTGGCCAAGCGCCGCTGGGCACCCAAAGCCCCTTCCCGGCTCCCCCCATCCCCTGCAGCCTTACCACGCTATCCGGCCCCGCAGCTGTCTTCCCCCTCCTCCACTCCCCTGAACGCTCCGCCCACCTGCTCCTCCCCCTCCCCTGCTTCCCGCGAATCAGATCTTCGTGGGAAGTCTGAAAAGAAGCAGGGGCAAGCGGGAGGCAGCAGCAGGTAAACTGGGGCGGGGGGGTGCGAGTAGGAGAGCTCCGGGGAGGCGCGGCCCGGGCTGAGCGGCTCCCTCTGGCCCGGGCCGAGCGGCGCCCGGAGGCCCCAGTGGCTCCGGCCTAGCTCGGGCCCTAGCGGTTCCGGCCC